AGGACGGGGTTAAAATTAATCCTCCCTGAGCTGTGCACTGTAGGGATGCTTGGTGGCCTGCCCCGGTTCAGCTCCTGTTGAGCTGCACTACTTGCTAATGTAGATATATTTATTCTTTCCCTGCAATTGATCTCAGAACTCACTCTCAATTATAATCCTGGTGGAGGGTCTTTGGAGGTTTACACAGTTTGTTGGCCTTTTGTCATCAATATTAAATGGAGAAAAGCTCCCATTGCTTCTTTATGACTCTTCAGAGGGAAGACAGAAGTAGGCTGCTGTCGATTTAACAGACTCTGACACCTCTGTTACTCCACTGCGTGAGAGCCCTTTTCTAGTAATCAGTGTCTGAAATGAGTAGAAACAGGACTGAAATTTACCACTTTGAACATGAATCAATGAAGCATTATTGCCAACACGCATCCTTCACTGCCACACATTTCAGTTGTGCTGCTGCTGGTTCAGGAAGGCTGAAAACCCCGTCCCCCACCCAGCTTTGCACCTGCAAGGTACCCTTTTTATCAAGCTCACTCTCTGATCTCTGCATAATTAACCAACACGTGAAATCCCTGGCTTCTGCCATGCATGTGTGTGCTTCAAAACTTCCTGCAAGACCACAGCAGTGTGTACAGATGGGCGAGTGTGGTCAGCTCGCAGGAGGCAATCACAACTTTTCCTTGGTGCCTCTTTCATTTTGCTGCCTACTTGCATCTGCCTTACCGTCTGTTCATCAATCCAGGGAGCATCCATCATGTAAGAGGATGAGTCCTACTGAGTCAGACACTCAGCTTCAGTTCATGAAATGAGTTGGCATCATATTCTCGCCTTGGCACACTGGATGCAAAAGACTTCAGCCCTTTTAGATACTTTGCTGCTGCAGAGGACTAGCAGGCCAGGTTAAATAATAGATGTGCATTCAGCAAGAGAGCTGTTGAATGAAAACCTGCAAACCAGCTGAAATCAGATAAAAGTCATCTCTTCTGCTAAGGGTCAAATCAGCTGGGCTGAAGGGATATGAGGTTTTGGGCTGCGGAGGGCTGAGCAGGATGAGTTCCACCACTAATGAGCTTAGTGAATAAGCTCATTACCTAATGAGCTCTATTGAACAAGCTTCATTTCCAGCCTAGGGAAAGCCTTCCGATTAGATAAAGCATAGGTAAACAGATCCATCAGTGTACACACAGAAGACTTATCTGTAACTCAAGAGCAAAGTCACGGTCATTGACAGAGTCCTTCCTGAAGGTGCAGATGTCAGGATGGATCGGAAAAGCAACAAATAGCAGAGGCTCTTTTCCAGTTTTGACCCTTCTTTACAAAGCCCGATGCACACAAGACTGCACACCAACCTGACCTGGCGACGCACCCACGTCCTAATAACCTTCTATCAGCATTAACATAGGACTGCCCTCCATGTAGGACACCACAGAGCTGGACAAGGTAACCTCCAGAGGTCCCTGCCAACCAAAATTATCCTATAACCAAATGCTCCTGAAATGGTGCATCTCTGTGGATCTCCATCTGAAACCCCAGCATTGCTTTTGTGGTCTGGGAAGATGTGTCAGATCAGATGCCAGGTCTTGCCAGATGGCCTGAAGACAATCTGACATCCACATTGTCTTGTGGACAATAGATCACCCAGAAAGGTCAGAGTCTTCAAGCAGCTAGTCTGTAAGGAATGGTCCATCAGGCACCCACATGCTGTTTAGCACAGTTTTCAGTTCTGTTGGCTTGGAAATGAAAGGAGAAAATAAGATTTCAGAAAAGGAGCAGAGACCTACAGATGCTGAAAGAAAACCCCTTAAATCTTGTCTTCTACATAGTAACACTTCCATTGAATTTACCATTTTTGTCTTAGGTTTTCAGCAGATCCTGAGGTACTGTTTAAACTATTCAGCTCCTCCAGCTGTGCCGCTCTCAGACACTGCCGCCGTCCATCCTCTGTGGTGGTCTAAGCAGAGATAAAATATGTTTGAAGAGAAAAAAGGAAGGAAAACACTGAACTTTGCAGTAAAAATTACTGCTAAAAAGATTTTTAGGAGAAAGCAGGTGCTCAGCCTTGGAAATACGTATATTTAAACCCCTGCATGCCCCTCCGATGCACATCAGAGGGTAAGTAAACATGCACGTAGCTCGCTTGTCCATGTCAGTGCATATTCACATGACTGCAGCAGGAAAGCCTGACACCAAATGTACTGTGAACTGAAAATGAATTTCAGCAGCTTTTGTGATTCATTCTTTGTCAGATACAAAAGGAGGCGTCTGGAGCTGCCTTGTCACCCGTGTGCAGGGGGCCCGTTTGTTGCTGCAGCAATGCAACCCCACTCCTCAGGCTGTTTGCATCCTTCCAGGGCTGCCTCGCTGCCAGCCCCTATGCATGTCCAACTATGTAAATAATGTTAATGGTCCTGCCCACTCTGACCAGTGGGAACCAGGTGTAACTTCATTACAGTCAGTGAGTCACCCCAGTGAAAAACGAGTGGCACTGACAGCTAAACTGGGCTCTGTGGATTTGAATAGGTCGGGGTGTAATCTGGGAGACGTGTTATGCACTGCTTTTATGGGAGAGTCATTATGGCAAGAGATGCCTTCTGGTGTCAGCTCCTCCACAGAGCCACATCTCATCTTTCATGTTTGCCAGTGCTTTCCTTGGACATCCCGGCAGTTTCCAGCACTCAGTATTAGATGCACTATTGTTGGAGAGGATTTGTGCGCCATGAATAATTCAAAACAGAGTGGGCAGACAGCACATCTACTACCTATAGCACTTGACTATACAATAAATTAAATCCACCCATTAAATCATCATGCCATTAAATTATGGAAGTGTTCAGGGCCAGGTTGGACACAGGGGCTTGAAGCAAGCTGCTCTAGTGGAAGGGGTCCCTGCCCGTGGCAGGGGTTGGAACTGGGTGAATTTTAAGGTCCCTTCCAACACAAACTATTCCATGATTCTATGATCACAAACTGAGAAATAAGGGCATTTATCGCCATATCTGTGCATCCTGAATGCTTTATACTTATGTGAAATACTTATGCTGAAAGCAGTTGGCAACTAAACGCAAGTCAGATGAGGATGTGTGGAATTCTCTAGGAATTAAGCACAGCTATTGCACCCTGAGCTTGGAGCAGAGTCTCCAGAGGATGTGCAGGCAGGCAGATGAGGCCACCGGCCACAGCAGTGCACACACAGACACAAGGGACACGCACAGCTCTTTAGCAGTCACAGCACCTTTGCTGAACTTGGTTTACAATCCCACACAGCTTAACACAACCGACTGCCACTAGTATTAGTGCAACCCAGTAAAGGAGCAGGAGCTACTTGGCAGTGCTAGTTGAGTATCTCCAAGTCGAAGTAGGCGTCTTCCTTTGACCTTGATGCATCCCGTGTAATGGGTTACTTTTATCTGGGTCTCAACCTCACTGCTGGATTGCTCAGAATGATCCACCTCTTTCTGTAAAGGCTGGCATCACATTTGATACAGGATACTGTAAAACACGTTGTAGAAGTAGGATGTCTCGTGTCCTGCATTTCTGGATAATGTTTCTCCCTCATGAGCTGTCACAGTGGCTTAGTGTAATGGGCTTCTGAAGGCCAGATATAACTGCCAAGGGATGAGGTTGTAGGGGTTTTTAGGCAGCAGTGACTTTTTCCCTCATCCAGTCCTATCATCAGGGAAAGATAAAAATGAAAGTACATCATCATCTTTGCTTCTGTGCAAGCTCTCACTATGACTCAGGACAAAAAGCTTCATGTGAACAAGGCAGAATTACAACTTTATGCTTCTCACAGCAGCCTTTGGCAGGCATTTGGGAAGGGCCCAATGACCATTTGTCAATTAGTGGTATAAATCTGTGTGCCAGGATTGTCAAAGCCAAGAGAGACTCAGATTCCACCCTTGCCTGTGAAACTACAGAGATCCAAAGTCTTCTCCACTGTGTTCTGCTCTCCTGAACACCCAAAAGCAGTTGAGAACTGCTGGGGAATGACCTTTATAGGTAGAAAAACCTCTGATGCACTGAATCAGGTAAACATGAGCAGTCAGACATCCCTCATCCCATACCTGGATCACTCCAGTTACAATTCTGCTGCAAGATGGGCACTGTCTCCACCTCAGCTCAAAGACCAGAGGTCCAGAGGGAGAAGGTGACCTGACAGTGCTCATACAGTGCATCACTAATCAGCTCCATTGGCTTACTTGTGCGATGCAATCTAAATAAAATATCAAAGAGCTCAATCTCTTCTTACAGATAAAAGGAGAGAATGGTAAAAAAAAAACCCACACGGAATTTTAGATGAAGGAATAAAAGATGTTCTAGAGGTCTGTGTTCCCCTGCTTTACGGGGCAAGGCTGAAAATGGTTTAGCAAAATGCAAAGAAAGGTTGTTTCTGATTTAGTGTTTAATACTAAAATACTATAAGTAACAAATCTGCAAAATCATGTAGCCAAGAAATGGATGTGTGTGTAAGGAAACACACACAGAGCTCACCCGATGCTGCCAAGAGCATTGTGCTCAACCTGCGCATGGGCTCTGTCTGTTGGAGGCAGTGAATCAGTGAAGCAGTTGTGGCTGTTCCACACCTGCCTCCCCTCCCATGGGCCTGCAACTCGTTCTGTGCCTGTTGTGGCCTTTCCTCATGCTAAACTTTGCTTAATGAAATACCACAAGGTGACCAAGCAATCACATTCAAGACACATAATGCCAATAGTCAGAGCCCACGCCATAAACACTTCCATAACATGGGAATAATGGGCAAATTTCATCACCTTCCTACGGAAGCACAGTGAATAAAAGAAATCAAGAGAGCAGAAGTTCCAGATCAGAGCACACAGCACCCAGTGGGCTCAAAAGACATCTTCAAATCAGCCACATGCAGTTCTGAAGTCCCATGGATGCAGCGAGTATATCCTTAGCCATAACCCTCTATGCATCCAGATGGGAGTAAATGAGATTGTGTGGGTATGAAAAAGATTCTTGAGGATGATGTGTAAGATGTGAAAAGCAATCACACTGCTATAAATGATAAAACATAACCATAAAATAAAACACTGAAGGCCTGAACGATTGGGCATTGATGCAAAGTGATTTTTAAATGCTACCATTCAGATATGGTAGAAAATAAAATCCCTCTTGCAAAAAAAGCAGTACTGAGTGGTAGAAAATAAAACCCACTACAGAGAAGGCAGCCCTGAGGAAAGGCATGGCTGAGGCACAGGCCTCCCTCGTCTGCCTAGTCCATCATCTCCAAATGTTTTCCTTTCTCAGTGTTCAAACTTCTACATAATTCAAGAGAATTTCAATATGTGCTGTTAGATAGGTCTGTATGCAAAGAGCTGCAGCAGGATGTGCACCCACAGGCAGGGATACAACAGGGCTGACAGATATTTTGCCCCATTTCTCAAAAGTGTCACACATGTGGACATCAAAATAGAATTATCATAATTGGTTTAATGCATAGACATGTCAAAAACTTCCTCTTCATGTGCTCAGATACTCAGTTAAAGCTCAACTGAGACTAATCAGCCTAAGGGAGGAATTCAGTACCCTTCTGGAGACACATGCACTGGGCAATACTCTTCTACTCTGTGCCTGGGCTGATGTGTAATTGAACAATCTGAATCCTGGGCTAATCATCCACATGAAACACATTGAGCATCTCAAGGAGTGGCAGGAAATGAAGCCTCATACTTCAGAGACTGGGCTGATGAAGAGATCACATGCAGCTGTCAGGAGAACTCCTCTTCCTCCTCCCCAAGTGCCCCCCGTGGCCACCAATCCCTCTCAGGATGTGCAACTCCTGATAGCAGCGTTGCAGGGAGCATCCTCTGAACCGAAGGGGTGTTGGCTTTCTGCCCACTGTGAATAATGGGCTTTGTCAGGAATGATCTATTTAAAAACTAAGCACTACCCAGGGTTGTCTTTCAGACAGATCACTTACAGGGTACCACGTTCGCAGTGCTGCGGGCTCCCACATGGGGACAGTCAGGTTGTGGCCACAGTCCCCGGCTCATCAGGACAGCAGTGAGGCAAGGGCAGGACACACCAGCCCAGCCATAGGCATGGATCCACATGGCAAAACCTGTGAGGCCCCACACTGCCATCAGCTTTCCCATGGACACGGAGAAAGGGGACAAAGGGAGAGCATAAGCAGCTAAATGGCAATTGCTTATTTCCTTCCCAGAAGCCTTTTACTACAGGGAGGAAGAGCGTCGTAGCTGGTCCTCATTCATCCTGTCCTTCACACAGAGATGGGAGCTGCCTAGCAGGGCAGGGTAGGGGGAGCACAGGTCAAACCCACTTCTGTCCCACTTAGGTGTTTGTTAGTGCCAGTGTAAGCTCAGGGTTAATTACTAACCCTAAAAGACTCTTTCTTAGGGACACAGGGATGAAGAGAGCTGCGAAGGGCCGGTTATTTCTGCTGCCTCTCCTGCTGCCGGTTTCACAACCTGCATCCTCCCAGATTGTCTTTTCTCCCCTTCCATCTGAGCCAGGCTCTGCTTTCCTCCCCCTTACCCAGCATTGGGTCTGTGCTTCCGCTCAGGGGCTCCTGCAGAAAGAGGGGCAGCATCCGTGCGGCAGCCACGGAGGTGACCCGAGCTCAAAGCTGTCCCACAACAAAACTGCTCCAGCAGTTGTAGTGCCACCACATCTGCAACCCCGTGACAGCTCCGAGGAGCAAACAGCTGCTGTCTGAGTCGGTTCTGATGACGTGAGATGGTTTCAGAGACGAATGTTCTCCCAGCTTACTACTGACACACGGGACAGGTAAATGAGATTTACTTTGGCATCTCATTCACTTCTCAATCCATCTTCTCTAGTACTTTTCTCCCCTCCAGCCTGTACGTGGAAAGGTCAATCGGTTTAATTATGGATGTTAGACACATACGTGCCATTTGCAGCTCTGCTAAGTGTGCTCACACAACTGGAACCCTCTTGCATCAAGTATAATAGCAACGGGGTTCCTATTGCAGCAAAGGTGCTCACTGGACCAGGATAGAAGAAATAACTAACTGAAGAGCAGTGAGTTTTAATGACATTTCTGCAGCTTCCCCAGGGCTGGCAGAATATGCTACAAATGTTTATTAAAGTTCACTGCCTTCCTAAATAAACACTGACATCTCTATTTAACACAGTCAAATCCAAGTCAGCAAACAGACCACACAGCACAAACCATACAGGAAAGAATTCTCTGCTCCCCTATATCCTTCTCAGTGGAGCAGGGGAACCTGTGCAGTCTCTCAGACCATGCCATGTACCAGAAGAGCAGGAGCACAGCACTCTAAAGGCAGCCTTGATCACATCATTCCATGTTTCTTTAAAGACCCTGACTTCCATGGATGGTGACCACAATAGGACAGCCAAGGGATGGTACCAGTAGATTCTGCTATAGATAGTCAGCCTGGCACTTGCCCACCTGTAGTTTTCTTGCTAATCACTGTAACACCACCCCAGAGGACAATTCCACTGACAAAGTGGGTACTTTTGATACCTGTCATTTCCCATTGTGGTTCTCTTTGGCATTCCCACGTTTAAGACCCTTTGAAAAGCAGAGGCACAAACCCATTAAGGGACTATAAATGGTTGACTGAGACTTGTGTGTTGTTTCCATCCCTGTAGAGAAACCCACAGAATCCTATAGGGGTCAAAACAAGCACACAAATTCACTACCAGTAGTTACCTTAGTCTTTGGAAACGATCCTATTGCGTGTTCCAGCAACTCTACAGCAATATAAACTTCACTTTGAAATAAAGGACACTTTAGGATTTTTAATTGCATCCTAACCTTTCATTAATTGGGCTTTATGCAGTGAGCAACATCACAATAATAGGTCTGCAACCCCAGTGTGGAATACAAATGGGCCACAAGCAGGGGAGAGCACCTGAGTGTGCCAGGGCCAGCAGCACCGTGGGAGCTGATGGACTCAGCCAGCACCACAGAGACTTCCTCATTATCCAGTGGCCTTTGGTTGCCTGGAATTACTTTCAAAGCAAGCAACATCAGAAAAACATTCCCCCACACCGCAGGTTTTGGCATTCACTCATCAGAGAGGCATAAAACAGCTCTAGAAAGTGATGGCTTTGAGCAGCTCTGAAAAGTCACATCTTGAATTTATCTCCGTAATAATGAGGCTGGTGAACAATTCTGTCAGCCAGATTTATTTGCACACCTCACATCGGTGTTTTCATGTCATTTCTGAACTCCCCATAAACAAAGGGTTTTACAGCTAATAAAAGTAATAATCCCAAGGGCAGGAATTTGTTTATGGCTCTGGCTGCATGCGTGCAGTCTGCCTGCATCTGTGCCACAGCACCCAAGGGACCGATGCTGCAGGATGCTCCGCATGGCCCTGGCCATGCCTGCAGGTCACTTGCATCTGCCTGCAACACACAGAACCTGGGGCATTATAGAATGGCTTTGGTTGGAAGGGACTTTAAAGCTCCTCCAGCTCCAACCCCTGCCACGGGCAGGGACCCCTTCCACTAGAGCAGCTTGCTCCAAGCCCCTGTGTCCAACCTGGCCTTGAACACTGCCAGGGATGGGGCAGCCACAGCTTCTCTGGGCACCCTGTGCCAGCGCCTCAGCACCCTCACAGGGAAGAGCTTCTGCCTAAGAGCTCATCTCAGTCTCCCCTCTGGCAGGTTAAAGCCATTCCCCTTGGCCTGGCCCTACATCCCTTGTCCCAAGCCCCTCTCCAGGTTTCCTGCAGCCCCTTCAGGCACTGGAGCTGCTCTCAGATCTCCCCTTCAGGAGCCTTCTCTTCTCCAGGCTGCCCCAGCCCAGCTCTCTCAGCCTGGCTCCAGAGCAGAGCTGCTCCAGCCCTTGCAGCATCTCCATGGCCTCCTCTGGCCTCGCTCCAACAGCTCCACTGCTCCTGTGTTGTCCTCAGGAGCTCTTTCACAGTGCAGAGGAACAGTTAATCAGTCTCAAAGCCAGATTTCCTCACTTGGCTTCCTTCTGGCCATCTCAGCCTTCCTACTTCATGTCCCTTACCCTTTATCACCCCTTCACATATCCCAAAGTCACAGCTGAGCAGCCTTTTGCCAGGGACAAGCACAGCTGCAGGAGCCCCACTGGGGAGCAGAAAGCCCTCAGTGCGGGTCCACAGGGGCCAGGAGCAGCTGGGATGCAGGACCCTGCCTTGCTGCAGCACAAACCCCTCTGCTCTGCAAGACTGGGATAAAGCCCAGGTCCTGTACGTGCCCTGTGCACAGGGGCAGGGTTCACTCCCCAGTTTTAAGAGTGAGGTTCCCAAATCCTTTTGGACATTCAGCATTCCCAGGTAGCTTTGATGCTTTCATCCTGTGACCCTCCCTAAAACACAGCTCCGGGCAGAGCGACAGCTCTGGCACCAGCTGCATTGGAGCTAGCAGCACCTGAGACCTCTCCCCACACTGGGCTGGCTGGAGATATTTCCCAGCAGAAAAGTGTTGTCTTTTGGGGAGTGTGATGTCATTTGTTCTAATTCCTGTTGACATTTCATTTCACATGTTATTAAATGAACCCCTTCAGAAGGCTGAAACAAATTTGTTATAGAAGAAAGAAAATGCATGCCTTAGGACAAAACAAGCTCATGATTTGTTTTTCTGATATGGGTAACATATATAGAATCATAGAATAGTTAGGGTTGGAAAGGACCTTAAGATCATCCAGTTCAACCCCGCTGCCATGGGCAAGGACACCTCACACTAAACCATCTCACCCAGGGCTCTGTCCAACCTGGCCTTGAACACTGCCAGGGATGGAGCATTCACAGCTTCCCTGGTCAACCCATTCCAGTGCCTCACCACAGTCACAGTAAATATATGGTAATGTATGGTGCAAAGCATCCAGCCAAGCTTAAACAGTGCAGCTCCATTGCACGTAATAGTGTACTGGTGACCAATGCAACACCACTTGCTACTATTGATACTGCCATTTCTCATAGAATCACAGAATGGTTTGAGTTGAAGGGAGCTTAAAGCTCATCCAGCTCCATGCAGGGACCCCTTCCACTAGAGCAGCTTGCTCCAAGCCCCTGTGTCCAACCTGGCCTTGAACACTGCCAGGGATGGGGCAGCCACAGCTTCTCTGGGCACCCTGTGCCAGCGCCTCAGCACCCTCACAGAGAAGAGCTTCTGCCTAAGAGCTCAGCTCAGTCTCCCCTCTGGCAGGTTAAAGCCATTCCCCTTGGCCTGTCCCTCCATCCCTTGTCCCAAGCCCCTCTCCAGGTTTCCTGTAGCCCCTTCAGGCACTGGAGCTGCTCTCAGGTCTCCCCTTCAGGAGCCTTCTCTTCTCCAGGCTGCCCCAGCCCAGCTCTCTCAGCCTGGCTCCAGAGCAGAGCTGCTCCAGCCCTCGCAGCATCTCCCTGGCCTCCTCTGCACTTGCTCCATCAGCTCCACGTCCTTAATTTTTCAGCCAGTCACAGTATTTCTAATTAAACCAATCTTTCTCTTTGTTAGCAAGTAGAGCTGAAATGCTTTCTGTAAATATCCAGGTTTGTATCTGCAATAATACGCTGCTGGATAATGGAAGGGCAAGTGTAAGGGAACCTAAATGAATCATTTTTTATTTGAGCAATTTAGCAATGACATATTATATCAATCATTTCTGTGCTGGGTCTGTGGAGTAAGCAGATATCCTGACACATTTTATACCTTTCTTCGAACAGCATAAAATGACCTTAGGAGATAGACGAAGCTGCTAAAGGTGGCAGCGAATCTCTTTTAATGGCAAAACGGAGCAAGGAGGGAGAGGGACACCCTGGTCTGGCAGTGTGGGGCAGGAGGACACATGGGGACGGTGGGTCTGTGAGCACGGGACAGGCCATTGCTGGGGGACCAGAGCTCCCAACACGCTAAGCAGAAACCCCCACAAGCACAGCTACCATAAACACACAGCTTCCTCCTGCTTTTAACTCCCAATGTGCTACATTCATCTTCTGTGGTGATTAAAGCTCAGCAAAGTCATTAATACTGAGGCTTTCCTCACTGTACCACGTTAAAGAAATAGACTTCCTTACTTATTTAAAGGAAACAACCCCCTTTTCACCATCTAGAGCTGATTTCATAGGGGAAATGTAATACTGACAAATACTGCCAAGGAGTGCATTTGTATATGGCTAATCAACAACTTGATGAACACTGTAAAACCACCATTTATGGGATAAACAAAGGCTGCTATTTGCAGAAATCACACAAGTTCACGATGGCAACGCAGCAAAGCAACGTGCAGGGAGGTTGTCCCACAGCACTGCAAACGTGGGGCTGAACCGTGGGGCTCTTGCCATCCCATTCCTGGGAAAAGCGAGGGCTTAGGGACAGACACACAGCCCGAGTGACCACAGGGCTCTCACTCTGCCAGCCCAGCACCTCAACGATCTGCCCCAAAATGCTAGAACCCAGGAAGAGGAAAAACTCTCCTGGAACAAGGAATAATTTCGAGGCTGATGTGAACTTCTCCCTTCTCAGTTTTTAAAGTGGGATTATCTCATATAATAGCCTTAAAGATATGCCCCAGGGCCAGTCCCTTTTACAGTGAATAATACCTAATCACCCATTTCTTCCCATATAATATACTACGACCTTCTAAATTTGTCGATCTAATTAGCTCTTTCCCCTAACACTCACTATGATTAAATCTGTATTAAAGCTTTCTGTGCAGCACAGGAGCAGACACACCTGAGCATTGGCTAAATTTAGCAGAGGACAATATTTAATGGGTTATTTTTAATGGATGCTGGAATTGCTGCATAAATGAATTCTGATTTGAGTTTCCTCAGCCGCCTTATTTTTTATCTCAGCTCCCTTAAATTGTATATCAAGCAGATTAGGAAGAATAATGGAGAAATTTACCTGGC